ATTCATTACAAATGACTATTACTTTACTTATCTAGTTATCTGAAATAATTGGCAAGGTTTTTAACACAGTACTGATTCTATTATTCTTACACTATGCTTACATACTGTATATAGACACATACTATCAACATGGTGTTTGTCTGTCAGGGCCTGAAATAACATTCCCAAAATTCCCGATCATGGTGATTGATCATGGTGATTGGCAGTCATGACTTTCCCTGCTTTTCAAGTTGAAAACCCTGCTTTTCCGCTGATCATAAGCAATTTCTTGCTGATTATTGATTGGTAATCAGTTGTTATTTCAAGCCCTGGTCTGTTGAAAAATTTAACTGGTTCAAGATGCAATGGACCCATCTCAAGCCAATGAGATCAGACTGATATTTGGCATCAGCTTTTGTCTACAAAGCCTGAATGTTTGGGGAGGGGGGAGATTATGGGAATTAAGGTGGTGATCTTGAAAGGCTAAGTTTGGTTGATGATGAAGGAAGTTTTTTCTCATGCCCCAGGAAGTTTTTTCTCATGTCAGTGTTGTGTACAAGAGTGAGGTTATTGTTATTGGAGGCGAGAGTGGTCTTTTTGCAAGCCGATATATTTAACTTTAACCTCATGTTCCAGAAAATTTATTAATAAAGTTTCCTACAGTATGTTAGGAATAATATCCTGGTGAATTTGCATCATGACCAAGCCAAGTCATTTAATTTAATTAGTCTTCAACCATAGTGCTTCTTTGCTTATACTGTATAAAAAGTGACCTACTGTATAGACCAGCTTTCACACTTGCACTGTAAACATTTAAACTATCAAGGTCAAATTTATAGGTCATTGGTACCTGTCAATGCTTAGGAAACAGTGCTATACAGGCAATTGCCAGTTGCATTAGATCTAAAAATATAACCAAAGATTATATTATTATTATTGTCTTCATAAAGTACATTTGTAGAGCTATTATCAGTCAATCAATACTCTATAAAGCATGTACACAATAAATATTTTTTATCCAACATGATCAAATATTTGAGATCAAGTTTCTGCCACTTGAGGTGTTTTAATTTTATACACATATATAAAATGAATATGTATGCAGTATATGAAACTTTGGACCTATAACCTCGCACAATTATGCAAATCGTACGTTCAATTCAACGATTTATTGTTCAAAATTCAAACCACTTTACCTTATTGCCATACACCTCTTAGTAATCTCTTGAAAATATATTAGACGACGAGAAATCAACACATCATAGTTTCGGTCAAGACAATTTTCTTGCATCCATCGAATTTATCAGCTTGAAATATTCTCCACAGAACACCAGAGAGCATCCCTTATCGTAACCAATAACGATATAACCCTTTCGAAATCTTTATTTCGAAAATAGTTCAACAAATATACTAAGATTAAGCGAAATAATTCGCTTGTAAAATTGTACAGAGCTGCAACAGAGCTACCAAGTGCACAATGCTTCCAAATTGAAGATTAGAAGGCCAATCAGAGGAGATGTTCTTTAATTCTTTTGTGCAAATTGTCCAATCAGAAGCTGCTATCTATTTGTAGGATTAGTCAAAATAGTCAAAATTGCGCAATCGTTAGTCAAAATAGGTCTGACCAATCAACATGCCTGTAATGTGTAATCTGAGCAAATTTGACCAATCAAATCACATGAACTAAAATGCAGAATAGTCAATTTTCATTTCAATACCGCTTATTTGACTTATCGTTTGACTAATCAATCGCTGGCTCAATGTGCAAAAACTGATCGAAGTTTATATGCTGGAGTGTGATGTAGTTTTGATTGCATGATCAGAAATGAAGAGAAGCGTTTGCGCTGGGAAAAAATTCAAAAACCTTAGTCAAATTTTTTTATATGCCTTTTTTTTACGTTAGTCGCGTGACTAATCTGACTACCCCTAGATCCGCCGTATTGCACCGGCCATCATGCCATGAATTCAAATATTCAATAGATTTTATAAATTTATTTTGCTTTTAGCATAACTCATGATGTTCCCTGTTTTCAGGGGACTATTTAACCCATTGAGTGCAGACATTCTCCCCAAGCCAGTAACATCCCCTGGTGTTTGGCATAGTAAAATAATAAAATAGGGTGCATCAGGGCACATACCTTTGACTAATGCTAATACCTGTAAATATCTTGAGTTTGTGACCTTGGCTCTATAAAATCTGTGACCCTTCAGTGTCTATGTTGGGGAAGTCCATTGTATTATTGTTTTTCATTGTGTAAGGTATTGATATTGATGAAAATTATTATTTGATAGGAAAGACGGTATCGTTTGGAGGAAGAAAGATGCCAAAATATGGATAAATGTCAGTTCAAACAAGGACTTGATAAAGAGAATTGTGTGCGAACTTGTGTATCAAAATCATGTTATGATGAATTATATTCTTGGAATGAGGTATAAATACAATGACTCTATGTATTGTTTGCATTGGCTAATGGCTATACTATGGGATAGTCTTGTGCTGTATATATAAGTGTTGAGGGAGTATTTTACCGTAAGCTTGCTGTGATTCTGGACCAACAGCGAAAGATTAACGTGTTGAGCGCCAGTGCTCTCCCTTTGACAGGTAAAATTGTCTGACATTAGACAGAGTGAAATAGTGGAGTAGGCCTCATTAGGGAACAATGCTACTTACAGTACAGCAATGGGTTAGCTGGACACATGGACAGATAGTCTGATTGAGCCATTGAATGCCAGCGCTCTCGCTTTGACGGGTAAAATTGTCTGGCGTTGGAGAGAGTAGTGCACCAGAGCAGACCACATTGTGGTGCAATGCAGGCATGCAGCTAATGAGTTAAAAACACTTCAACAAGTTGTTTATCACTTTACGTATGCCTTTTGTTTTACATATGCTTATGCCCTTTGTTTTACATGTGATATAATGACTGGTCAACTTGATTTTAGCTCAGTCTAACACTGTTTCTGACTGGTAGTTTTTAATTAAAATAAGTAAAACACAGGAACCTGAGGTTTTGATGAAACTGCATACTCTTACATAAATTTTTCAAATTTTCTCTGACAAGATTTCAGCAGAGATTCCGAAGAAAAACTATTCCAAGACATCCAATGTGACCGGTGAAAATGACCAGAGAGCCAAAATAGTGACCGGTCAAGAGGCATTTCTGGCCGGTCATTGTTGGTTGAGCGGCCGTTATTTTTAGACTTGGATAGGCAGTAGTTACAAATTAACCATCAACATTTTACAAAAACCAAGTTCTATTATTTTTCATTCTTTTATTTTTCAGTTAGAAGAAGGTGAAATAGATGTTCGACTGACATCATTTAAAGGATGTGTTGTTCAACAAGTCCGAGAGCGTGAAATGGAACAAAGAAGAAAAGAACAGTTGTGAAGTAAAAGTGCAACATTTATGCAACGTCACAGAAATTATCACATTGAACATGTATTGATTTTATTATTACAGTTGAGCCCCTGATATTAACAAACGCCTCTTTAAAGGATCTTATAAGCGGATACCTATATACATCCCTCCTCTGTTCCTAATATTAATAAAATGCCAGAACAAGGATTCAACTGGCAACCTCGCAGACACTGAAATTTGGAAGATTTTTCCACTTAACAGTGGCAAGCGAGAGAAATCAATTTTATAATTTCTAATACAATGTATTCAACAGTAGTATTAATGAAAAGGGTTGGGTCAAGAGGAAATGAAATAGTAATGCAAATTTGGTAAGAAATTTTAGTATAGTATATCAGGGGGAAAAACGTGAGAAATGGTTCATGATTTAGCTATTGATTGGGCGTGCTCCACTGAGTTGTGGATGCACGTGTGCAGGAAGTTGAGAAAGGTCGAATATTCGAGTTCAAATTCCTGGTTCGTTAATTCGCAAATAAGATCAATTTATTTAGGATATATCAGGCAAATACAGATATATATACTGTAACTTTCTCCAAAAATGAATTCTGTATCTAGGCTATGTTCAGTCTACTGTATATAGCGAGGTTCGTGTCCGTAATTGGATTACCCAGAAAACCACCAGGAATTAATAATTGGATTTCTCCTGTATTTTTTTTTAATAACTTTACAATCAAATGACTGATGGTAAGGACAACAGGACGACCAAAAACATACATTACATAATTACTTATAGGTATTACAAGAATACATATTGTATACATAAACATTAGGACATACAACAATTATAATTACATCTATGAACAACAGTTTGTATGTAAAGAACGACATTTACTGCACACAGTTTTCCATGTTCTAGGACAGTCTACGTCAAAAGTACTGTTCAGCTTGTTAGTGTAAAATATATATATCGTTTAGATTTAAGTATGTCGACTGACGAAGATTATTTGATATCTGACGGTAAATTGTTCCATAAAAATACAATTCTGTTAAAGTATGAGTTTCGGAAGAAGGAGGTTTTGCACAGGTTTGGACAAATATCACCAGAACTGGAACGAGTGGAGTGGTGAAGAGGTTGGGTAAACAAGGGTAATATACTGATTGATGTCAAGTTCGTACATCCCGGATTTACATTTGTAGAGGAATATGATGTCTTTAATTTCATGCCAGTATGAGAGGGGGATTAGATTCAGTTTTTTTCAAGCGACCAACGTACGACAATTCATAGTCCAGAAGAATAAACTTTGTTGCTCGACGTTGAATTCCTTCGAGATGAAGCAAATCAGCAGACGGACCTAGAGGAGCCCAGATTTCGCAACCGAACGACAAGTGAGACCAGAGACAAATACAGAAGGCGGCGAGCATGCACGTTAGTGAGGTGACAACAATTGCGTCGCAGAAACCCAAACATTCTGTTGGCTTTAGAAACGATATTGGGCATGTAGTAAAACACTGACTACCGGAACACCGGAACACCACCATTTTGTTTGGGGTTAGGGTTGGGGGTTAGGGTTGGGGGTTAGGGTTAGGGTTAGATGGTGTTCCGGTGGTGTTCCGGTAGTCAGTGTTTTACTACATGCCACGATATTGATGTGTTGGGACCATTTTAAATTGTCGCTCACCAGGATACCCAAATCGCTCTGTGGAGGAAGACTTTAATTTGATTTTTTTCTGTGTTGGTGTTATACTTTATAATTTGCTGGTTTATAAATATAGGGAGTAGTCTTGACGTGGAACGGAGGTTTTCTTTCGTGCAAAACTGAGGGCGACACACTTCTTCGCATTGAAATTTAAGTCCACGTCGTAGACCTTTGGTGGAGGTAATTTAGGTCCTGAAGATCTCTATCTCGTGGTTGAGTAATTTGACGATAGCATTTGCTGTCATCAGCAAACATGGGCACTGTGCTATGATTAGCTGCCTTTGGGAGGTCGTTTGCGTAAATCAAGAACAAAAGTGGGCCGAGTACGCTGCCTTGTGGCACCCCTGATGTCACGTTGAGAAACGAGGATGACACTCCGTAGACCACTACTCGTTGACGTCTTTTGCTCAAATAGTCGGAGAACCAGTTCAACAACGAACCGGAGATACCATGTTGTTCAAGTTTCAAAAGAAGGTTTCGATGAGAAACGGAATCAAAGGCTTTGGAGAAGTCTAAGTAAACCATGTCAGCTTCCTTTCCCGAGTCTAGGGCTTTACTAACGTCGTGGAAAACACCAAGAAGTCGGGTGACACGCGAACATCTTTTGCGGAAACCATGTTGCAGATTACTCAGTGGTGATTCAACAAATTCCGACACGTGGAAATGCAAGTCCCCATGATTTCTACGTTAGATTCGCCTGATTTTCTCGCAGACCGAATTTACTCGAACCCTGAATGATGATCCCTTTTACCAAAACTGACCAGATCCCTTCGTAGTAGTTCACTTAATCACATGCCTCGCAAGGTACAGAAAACAAATTTAGATAGTGAGTTTTACGAATGGATTTACTCAGTCATGAAAAACATCTTTCAAAAATCCTTCAAAAAAACGAGAAATTTCCGGGATTTGTAGTGATTTCAGATCCATTTTTAAGGTTTTTTGGCGTAAAGATTTTTAGAGACTTTTTGGAGTGATACACACTCGCAGTTTACAAGTATCTCAAGTCAAATATTGCAGGTTACTGTCTACGGTTCCATCATGAAGCCCATGTCTTGTACTGTTGTAAAGGAGCGATTAAAATCAACACAGCGAATTAAAGAATGCCGTAACATGATGCTAGGCTTATATCAACATTGTTTCTGCCTTGTATATAATAATGCATTTCATGGTTTTTTTTTTAAATTTACGGAAAATCTTGAGAATTCACAAAAATGTCCTATGTACGGCTACGTGTGCTGATCATCCGACTGTAGAGCCCCTAGAGAGTGAAGCAGCACGAATTGTAAAAGATCGTTTAAATGAATTGAAAATCATTAGAAAGAGGTTGTCAGCCTCAAGTTGTTCTCGACTTTTTTTGCCAGAACATTTGGAGTTACAACATCTTGGCCGCCGCCAACCTCGTACCCAGGATCTTTCTTTGGGAAAGACCCTGGCAGCGTGCCTCGTCCAAAGATCCTGGGTACGAGGTTGGACCATTGAACTATAAATAAACTGGAAGGCTAACTCAGGGGGGGAAATTGAAGCCAGTGCATTTTAGTTTTTCTGAGTTATGAGCAGAAATACTCAACACTGAACGTTGGGCTATATATCAAATTGAAGCTATTGAAAAACTCTATTTGGTGTAGAAATTTCAAGACTTTAGCTAAAAGGGAAATATTGAAAAACTACAAACATAATTACCGATAATTTGCCGTTTTGCAGTTGTTTTTGTATTTTTTAAAGATTTTTCTTTTCGCTGAAGTCTTCAAATTTCCACACCGAATAGCAATTTTCAATAGCTTCAATTTGATATAAAGCCCGACGTTTGGGGTCAAGTATTTCTGCTCATAACTCAGAAAAACTATTTTGGCTTCATCAAATCATAGGCCTTCATCATAGCAGTTAGCCTTCCAGTTTATTTATAGTTCAATGGGTTGGACCGCCGCGAGCTTACATGTGGATTCAAACCATGTAGTCGTTCGTACCAGCCAAGCCTGTTGTGACTGCAAACAGGCGTGTAATTTTAAAATGATGAAGTTCCATTTGTGCGGAGAAATGATAAAACTTTGACAGATTTGGAGAAGAGGACAAATATTGGAGCAGGTAGGCAACGAAAATGGCGGATTGGAGACAATTATGGTGAATCTGGAGACAAATATCAAGGAGGCGAATTGGACTTACTTGGTAAGATGAGGGAGGACATGAAATTTCCTCCATCTTACCAAGTAAACAAAGCGCAAGAGAAGGAATACAGTGCGGGCTAAGACTGACTTTGTATATGTATAATCTTTAACTGGCGTCAAAGAATAATATGTATAGTTGTCATTAGAAACCATGCCAGGGGCGCGTCCAGGAACGATTTCATTTGTCTAAACAACCATGTGATAATACAGCTGTGTAGGAAATAATTGGTGATCGTTGACAGAAAACCAAGTTTCATATCTAGAGATTCCCCGAGCCAACCTTGGCAGTGTCGTACTGTATAAACTGACACCACCGTCTTATGAAGCGATTGAGGTAACAACTGCGCAATGTCAATGGAGACAAAAAATCGCAGTTATAGGAGCCTTTGCCCTTGCTAAACAAAATATACAACATACAGTTCTCAATTACAATGTCAAGACAGAACGCCACATGCTACCACCAGTGAAGTGCAATTAGAGACGGGGTCACGGGGTTTGTAATGTAATACTAAATAATTGAGGATCATACTACTGAAAGAAGATCGTACTGTTGGAAGGTTGGTGCCAAAGACTTAGGGACCGGTCATTATTTATGGTGGGGGGTGGCACCGAAGAGAAAAGGGTTGGGTGATCAAAATTTTGAGTAAGTAAAAGGTTGGGGAAATAAAAAACAAAACAACTCAAGGGTTGGGTAATAAAAAATTATTGTCATTTCCAAAGCATGACTCACTTAAAGAGTGGAGACTGAAAAGCAATGTCAACAGTCATATGTGAATACAATATGTGAATCAATCAGAGTCACTATCTTGATCATTTTCTGATTTGCTGGGAGACAGATGGTGTCTCCAAAGAAAGTACATGTGCAGACAACATGAAACTTTAGACTGCAGAAAATTGCACAATCCGTTATCAAACTCGTGTCACAGAAGTGGTATTAAAAAGGATATGTGTGACAACTGAATGGTATCTTTTTGTAAAGGTTTTGGCCAGGGGTGGGTATTTATTTTTTAATTGATATTCGAGGTTGGGTAATCAAATTTTTGACTTTTTAATGGTTGGGTCAGCAAATTTTTTGCCAGGAAAAACATTTCTCTTCGGTGCCACCCCCCACCATAAATAATGACCCGTCCCTTATTATATAGAGTCAGTTGAAGCTTCCAACTTTGACCGTTATTCATGGAAAGAAGTTTCAGAAATGTCTGAAGGATGACGGTTCCATACTGCTGTTGTGAACGATGTTGAAGTCATTTCTTTGACATAGTCATATTATGAAGTCAAGAATATTTAAAATCTATAGTCTAATAATCGGTAAAAAAAAGCCTATATATAAGTTTTTATTCAAAAAATTAGAAAACTAGAAAAAATAATACGAAATTTAAATTAAGTAGCGCATATGAAAAACACATTTACATAACTTATTTATTTTACTAATAGGAGCAGGCGACTGTAATCAATTTTTTTCACCACTTCCCATTTGGCAAAGTTAGTCGAAAAAAATGTACGTGATCATGCTGACCTTCAGCAAACATGAATTGCAAGAGATTGTACAAATTACAAATTAATACTCGTGGTGGACTCGGTAATTTACGAGTTTCTCTACACCAGTATCACGGATAATCATTATGAACGGAGAACTATATACATATATTTGTTTCCCACACTGTCATTTTTATACTATTGTTATTTCACAGATAATGTGTGAGTAGAGCCTGACTCAACTCGTCGTTTCTTACTTCTGTCAGTTGTAGGCTGAGCTTTTCGACCAGTATCCCTCTGTGCCGTATGATGTGAAGGGTTCTGTGCGTATCTCGTTACTGTAGATACACCATCCACGAATTTTGTCTTGAACAACACATTAGCATTGTTGAACATACCATCCTTCAATGATACTACAATAAACTGCGAGTGTTTAAAGTGGGTTTTCAACATTTGACCGATATTCTGAGTATGTGAAAGATCCAAGGCAGCATCAACTTCGTCCAAAATATACAATGGAGCGGGTTTAAATAACAACATTGCCAGGATAAGAGACAAAGCTACCAAAGATCTAGAGTGATGACAAACAGAAAATGTTCGCTTGTTATTTTTACTTGCCAACAAATTGACTGAACGAAAAATAAATTTTGATATTTCCTAAAGAGAAGATCCAATCCACTCATGCCACATATATAATTTAAATGCTTTGTATGCTTACATGAGAAGAAAAATGGTATCTAGGCATGACACGTATCCAAAAATATGAATTGGGAAGCAATGGGCATAAACATGGTAGTTAAGCCTATTCGGACGAATTTTGGTATTTATTGCATTTATGTCATCTTGGCGTAGCAAGACAGAAGTTCTCAGTGCCAAACAATATCCTGTTAATGTACAGTTACATGAATGAACCGTGAATGATAAAAACTTGCCTTTGTCCTCCACTGAGCTCTCCTAGACTTTCTTTCCAAACAGAACCAAAAGCAACTTTTACTTCCAGTCCATCAAGCACGGTCTGTCCTTCAGGAGGAGCAAGTTTAGCTGATGTACCAGGGAGTAGTGTCGAGAATATAGATCCAAAATCCTACGGTGTACATGAGTTAGTGACACGTTGATACATTCTTTACACAAAATAGAGAAGTAATTACATCACAATAATTATAACGGCGGCACATACAGTTACCCTTGAGCCGGTTGTTCGAAAGCCGGCTAGCTTCAGGCGGATCTCCACTAGACGATTTTTGAGACGATCGTCAAAACAATTCGCGACGACACATGCGCAACTGAAAAAAATGTTCGAAGAGTGATCGTCTAGCGCTCGACGAAAAGTAGGACTGACTTCTAATCAGGGCGCTTATATAAGCGCCCTGCTTCTAATTTTCGTCGAGCGCCAGACGATCGCCAAATTTTTGTTGTTTACCCCGCGCTTTTTTTTTCTTGCTGCTAGTACATCTCCACTTCTTTCTAAATCGTCGCAAATTTTTATGACGATCATCATACAAATTGTCTCAAAAATTGTCTAGTGGAGATCCGCCTTTAATCCTGGGTTAACGAAAAACTACAAAGCAATCTCTCCAACAGTTTGCTTATAAACATGGAGATAGTTAACAAGAAATATAGTTTAGAAATCGTATCTGGATGAATAGACTTTTTATTTTCAAAATGTTTCAAACAAACATGCAGAAATACCCAAACCACAGCGGGGAGCTAATCCAGCTTTGAACAACCGGCCCTAAAGGGGAAGAAGCAATAGCGTGATTACTTACTATATTAACTCTTTCAAAAGCTTTCTTTAATGCTTCATTTTTCTTTTCATCAAGTTCAGCAATAACTTGTTCAATCTTTGCTTTGTCATTCTCTACAATACTCTTCTTTTTCATTAAGTCGTTATACTACAACGTAATATCGAGAGTATAGAAGAATCGATAAGTGGTTTATAATATTTGTGAATATGTCAGAGTTTAACAAATCATATTACCATATGTTAAGGAAAGCCTGGTAATGGCTGGTTACTGCATTACTTTTGGGGTATTTTTAAAAAAGAATGCATGCGCATTCTGAATATATACAGTACCTATCAGAATAGTTTATACACGCATGGAGATAACGAGACATCTAAACTACACTGTACATCATAACGTTAAAATAACTATCAAAACGCACTCACTTTCTCTTCAGCTTTTCCCAACATATTCATTGCTCTCATGTTGACATTTTTACCCAGTTTATCTTTAGTTTCCTGCAGTTTGGCCAATCTTCGTGAAACCTCGGACATACTTGTATCATTAGCAGCAAAGTCATAAGCTGTGTTAGGTTGACCAAAGAATTGTCGTTCACTGTCAATCCACTGGTATTCAGCAATCATTCTCTCAACCTAAAACACATCGGAAAGTTTTAATATTCGATAGATAAAACGATTAGAAATTCATACCTGTGATGAACTGTAACACAAGGATTAGAACCTCGATGGAACTACAATAAAACTTATGCATATGTTGTTGTATTTCCATCGTTTTATTGTATTTTATACAAACCAATCTCTTGTAATGTTTAAATTAACCAATAAGCACTCTCAAATTTGCTTATGAAGTGCACACAAAACAATATCTTCAATTCGAAGCTCGTAATATGATCCAACTTACGCTATATAGATCAGTCGTTGTCATCCTTGACAATCGTATTTAAACAGAACGTTTAATTCTTCAAGTGTCTTACACACAAGTTTAGGTTCCAGGGTTTTCGGGCATTACTTTGAAATCCCAGGATTTTGTAAGGCGTTTCCAGGACTAAAATAAAAATCCAAGATTTCCCCGGGGCGAACAAACCCTGCAAAGAATAACAAACGATACCGAACCTTGTGTGCTGCATCTTTACTGTCTTTTTGAAATTTCACCATTTTATGGTCCAGCTCTTTCACCTTGATCATATTATCATTGTTTTCATTCTCCATTTCTTTTCTGTTCGAGATTTTTGTATTAATTGCCTACAGAAATTTAAAATAATGCAAAATTCAGTAGACATGCCCCAAAATGAGTCTATGTATGATTGGAGTCCTTATATGCGATGATTTAAGTCATAATGAGTGATCGGGGAACCCCTCGAAACGGAAAGTGTGAAAACCTCCATGAAGAATGTCTTCAGCAGTTTTAGATTTCAGTAGCCAGATTTTTGAAACTTGAGAGTACTGATGTGGGATTTTGACGGGCTAACAAAGGTCTTCATTCCAGTATTTTACTTCAGATGAAAAATCATATTTCACAAGCGAATACCTCGTTACAAGCTCGTAGTGTTTTCTTTTGTTCCTTCAGGTTTTCGTCTGCTTCAACACATGCTTTCTAAAATGAAAAACGTCGAGGTATATTTAACAATTAACATGAGAGTATAGTTTTGCCCTTCCTGACCCACACTCCTTGAGCTCTTACTTAACCGTTACAGCAGTAAACAAGAAAACAATGGGTTGTTATAAGATAACATTTGAAGGACAAAACAATGCTTACTGTAGCTTCAACACCAAAAACCTTCAAACTGGGAAATTCCTAAAATATCACATTGCACATTAATATCTATAGCTCTGTTTTTAAAGCAATGTTTCCAGCAAACGAGTTCACCTAACCAGGAGCAACTGTGAAAAATGCAACTATATAGGCCCTCCAGCTGGCAGGAATGACCTGCATGCGGCCCTGCGATCCCGATGCAGTTTAACGGATATAATGTATTTAAAATTTTTATTGTACAATTCTTATGTGTTTTGTATTTTATATTTTAAACCTCACAGATGAAGAAGTGCTGTGCCTATGTAGATATACTGTGAATATAGCATTATTATAAAAATTAATTGAAAAGTCTCGTATAGTCCAACACATAAAACGCACCTTTGAATTTTCAGCCACTCCTACCAGCTCTTCAATTTGCTTTTCTAATCCTGTTATAACTTCATCTGTGCTGGCAATCTAATATAATAAAATTATAGTCCATGTGTTTATTAAACATATTTGAACATTAATAATTTTAGTATCGAACTGTCTCTAAGCCTCATTTTGTATTATTTCTTGGAATTAACAACGACCACAAATGCTTAAAAATAAAACAACTTTATTGTTTACAACACGTTTCGGAGTGTTACTCCATCTTCAGGTAATAAAGATTGCCGGAGTATATGTTTTAAAAAAATGGCAATCTTTATTACCTGAAGATGGAGTAACACTCCGAAACGTTGTAAACAATAAAGTTGTTTTATTTTTAAGCATTTGTGGTCGTTGTTAGTATTTGAACATGCTATAAAACCTTGGTATTCGCCGACGAGACTTTTAATATTGTTTTTGATTGTCTCAACCGCAATCGAACCCATTGGCATTGTTAAAGCAGATGAACCTTGGGTTTGATAAAACTAAGTAAAACTGAACTTTAATTAACTTTTTAGATCGTTTCCAAGTACCTGTTGTTCAACATTTGTAACTTCTGATTTCATTTCTTCAATCTCGAGTTTCAATTCTTCAACTTTCTAAATAAAATAACAATTCAGTAAATAAACTTATCAAGAATATATTGAACACGAAATGTAATATGAAAGTAGTAAAGCCCCCCCCCTCTGGCGGCGGAAGTAATTAGTATGCAAACTTAGGTGTCGGAAGTAATTAGTATGCAAGATATGTGACGCAACTTTGCTGGCCCTAACCCTAACCCTGGACCAACTGTGACGGGTAGCGCGACCAATTAACGCGGGCAGGTCTGGGCCAAATGGGACAGGCAACCAATTAGCGCGGACAGGCCTGGGTCAGATGTTAGGGATAGCGCGACTAAAACGCATGTATTTTGATTGTTTTTTCGCATGACTAAAACATGCTCTTGCGATAGCTCAGTTGGTAGAGCGGAGGACTGTAGTTCCTTAGGTTGTTGGTTCAAGCCCAGCTCGCAAGATTTAAAATAACCGGACACTTTGAAAGCTTACAGCGAAGCATATAGTCTAATTAGCTCGGAGCCTGGCTCGGAGCGGGTCCGTTCGAAGCATAGTATTTAGTCAGTACTGCCTCTGCGACTGCGAAAAATGAAAACGATAGTTTTACAAGGTTATGACGAAATAGAGGGATTAATCTTGGCCTACTATGAATAGCTCGAGTCTCTCACATGGCAAAATTGTTATCGAAATTAATATATAGCAGAGTTATAGCCGTACCTTTGCTCGGAAGAGATAAATTTCCACAAGTATATTGAAGAATTTTTCGTATGTTTACAAAATTATAGCGAGAAATCTATTCGTCACAAAAATCAAGACATATTTTAAACAGAACTAAACAGTTGCTAATCCCGGGTTGTCAACGTCGTTGTTAACCAATAGGCCAATATTTGCATGTTGTTCAGCGTTATTTAGCAAATCTTCTACCTAAGATGACCGAATCAGATCATAAGAAAGCTTATCAAGGATTCTTGGAGAAAAAACTTTTACAACAGTTGTAATGTTTTTTGACACTATTGTTTGACACTATCGTCTGTTAGTTGTATCAATAAACATGTTTTAAACTTTGCAAATGTTGCGTTGTTATGCGTTGCTAAGTCATTAGCGACGCTTGGGTGCATGCATATATTAATGTACAAAATATTGTACACCAATCAGGTGGGCGGGTCGCGCGGATGGAAAAGCGGGCTTTGCAGGCACAAATTTACACAAGATTTCAGTTTTACAATTATTTCTTCAAAATGTTTTAACAAAATTTAGTACGGTCTACTTTTAAGAGCGTAACGTCTAGGTGATTCTTGCTTATCTTCTGGGGATAGCCTAAGATATCGAATGATATCCTAAGATACTGATATCCTAAGATATTGATATCCTAAGATACTGATATCCTAAGATATTGATATCCTAAGATACTGATATCCTAAGATATTGATATCCTAAGATATTGATATCCTAAGATACTGATATCCTAAGATACTGATATCCTAAGATATTGATATCCTAAGATATTGATATCCTAAGATACTGATATCCTAAGATACTTATGATATCCTATATCCCAGCTAAGATATTGATATCCTAAGATACTGAAAGATATTGATATCCTAAGATACTGATATCCTAAGATACTGATATCCTAAGATACTGATATCCTAAGATACTGATATCCTAAGATACTGTATGATATCCTAAGATACTGATATCCTAATTACAATTATTTCTTCAAAATGTTTTAACAAAATTTAGTACGGTCTACTTTTAAGAGCGTAACGTCTAGGTGATTCTTGCTTATCTTCTGGGGATAGCCTAAGATATCGAATGATATCCTAAGATACTGATATCCTAAGATACTGATATCCTAAGATATTGATATCCTAAGATACTGATATCCTAAGATATTGATATCCTACGATACTGATATCCCAAGATATTGATATCCTAAGATACTGATATCCTAAGATACTGATATCCTAAGATATTGATATCCTAAGATATTGATATCCTAAGAAAACTGATATCCTAAGATATTGATATCCTAAGATATTGATATCCTAAGATATTGATATCCTAAGATACTGATATCCTAAGATACTGTATGATATCCTATATCCCAGCTAAGATATTGATATCCTAAGATACTGAAAGATATTGATATCCTAAGATACTGATATCCTAAGATACTGATATCCTAAGATACTGATATCCTAAGATACTGATATCCTAAGATACTGTATGATATCCTAAGATACTGATATCCTAATTACAATTATTTCTTCAAAATGTTTTAACAAAATTTAGTACGGTCTACTTTTAAGAGCGTAACGTCTAGGTGATTCTTGCTTATCTTCTGGGGATAGCCTAAGATATCGAATGATATCCTAAGATACTGATATCCTAAGATACTGATATCCTAAGATATTGATATCCTAAGATACTGATATCCTAAGATATTGATATCCTAAGATATTGATATCCTAAGATATTGATATCCTAAGATACTGATATCCTAAGATACTGTATGATATCCTATATCCCAGCTAAGATATTGATATCCTAAGATACTGAAAGATATTGATATCCTAAGATACTGATATCCTAAGATACTGATATCCTAAGATACTGATATCCTAAGATATTGATATCCTAAGATACTGTATGATATCCTAAGATATCGAATGATATCCTAAGATATTGATATCCTAAGATACTGATATCCTAAGATACTGATATCCTAAGATACTGATATCCTAAGATACTGATATCCTAAGATACTGATATCCTAAGATACTGATATCCTAAGATACTGATATCCTAAGATACTGATATCCTAAGATACTGATATCCTAAGATACTGATATCCTAAGATATTGATATCCTAAGATACTGTATGATATCCTAAGATATCGAATGATATCCTAAGATATTGATATCCTAAGATACTGATATCCTAAGATATTGATATCCTAAGATACTGATATCCTAAGATACTGATATCCTAAGATACTGATATCCTAAGATACTGATATCCTAAGATACTGATATCCTAAGATACTGATATCCTAAGATACTGATATCCTAAGATATTGATATCCTAAGATATCATTCGATATTCTCAAACTGTCGTAACAATCTTGCCACTGGTTGTAGTACCAAAAAATACGAATACGTTTTTGCTCATCGTACACGATACGATTCTTTTCCAAAATTTGTTGTACAAAATATGTTTTTCCACTTTGGCTCGGACCCACGACCAATAGCGAAAATTTATGGCGGAAGTTGAATTCCGGATAGGGTTTGGTGGTCATAGATGCTTGTGCTGTTTTCGGTTTCTTAGTTGGCAACGAGTATGCCCTTCTGCTCACACGCTTTTCTCCCTGCTTTTCAGAGTTCATGTACGGAGATTTGTCGATGTAGGGCTGCCATGACGACACCTTGGCTTGTTTAAGATAAGGTTTTCTCTCCTTCGATTGTAAACCGTAAACTTGTAAAAGATGTGTACTGATATTCTTCAAATCAGGCCGACCGCAAAGCGGACAGGTCCGGCGAAATCGTCTCTGCATGACTGCTCCGGCAAATGATTCAAGTTTGCATAGAAACACGGTTCTATGTATTGTTGCTTTCAGGAAGAGCTTCTGTGAAGCTTCTGTAAAGCTTCTGTAAAGCTTCTGTGAAGCTTCTGTGAAGCTTCTGTGAAGCTTCTGTAAAGCTTCTGTAAAGCTTCTGTGAAGCTTCTGTGAAGCTTCTGTGAAGCTTCTGTGAAGCGAGCGAGATACCACAGGACTGTCTGTCGCTTCAGCCATCAGATCGTCCAGTATGATGATGTTGTTGTACCGCGTATGAATCTCGCTCATTTCACAGAAGCTTTACAGAAGCTTCACAGAAGCTTCACAGAAGCTTCACAGAAGCTTCACAGAAGCTTTACAGAAGCTTCACAGAAGCTTCACAGAAGCTCTTCCTGAAAGCAACAATACATAGAACCGTGTTTCTATGCAAACTTGAATAATTTGCCGGAGCAGTCATGCAGAGACGATTTCGCCGGACCTGTCCGCTTTGCGGTCGGCCTGATTTGAAGAATATCAGTACACATCTTTTACAAGTTCACGGTTTACAATCGAAGGAGAGAAAACCTTATCTTAAGCAAGCCAAGGTGTCGTCATGGCAGCCCTACATCGACAAATCTCCGTACATGAACTCTGAAAAGCAGGGAGAAAAGCGTGTGAGCAGAAGGGCATACTCGTTGCCAACTAAGAAACCGAAAACAGCACAAGCATCTCTGACCACCAAACCCTATCCGGAATTCAACTTCCGCCATAAATTTTCGCTATTGGTCGTGGGACCGAGCCAAAGTGGAAAAACATATTTTGTACAACAAATTTTGGAAAAGAATCGTATTGTGTACGATGAGCAAAAACGTATTCGTATTTTTTGGTACTACAACCTGCAGTGGCAAGATTGTTACGACAGTTTGAGAAAATCCCTCGGAAAAAGCATCGAGTTTGAGAGAGGTTTGCCTGAGCTGTCCGAGAACATGAGCGAGATTCATACGCGATACAATCAATCAATCAATCTGTTTAATTAAAACCAATTTGCAGTTTTTAAAGGAAAACTGAATTACATGGAGTACTAATATAGCATAAAAATTTATATTAAAATGTACATATATATATATTATATAAAATAATGTTTATTTAGTTAGGACTGTTAATTAACTATAAATCTAATAATATTTCCTAGTCACGAAGTTTTTTAACCGTTCAGTGGTTTCTGACCATAAAGGTTGTTCGGCCGTTCTGTCATTCCTTAAGTCATAATCATGAGTTTTTACCCCTGGACGAATTTCCATAATTTGGGTCAAAGGGTTGTAGGGTGAAACATCACGTCGCAGAGATTCGACGAATTTCTTGCAAGAGATGTCTCTACGAGTACTCAGATACTGTAAGTTTGAAATTTCAAGGGCTTCATCATATAACAGATCTGGATAAGCTATTCTCAATGCTCTCTTTTGAACAGATTCGAGAATGTCAGATAATGATTTAGGTATTGACGACCATGCAGGGGATGCATATTCAATTCTGGATCTGATGAATGAAATATATATTTGGACGATGTCAGATGCTTGAAGACCAGCCTTTTTTAACAGACGCAATGCGTATAAGCGAGAATTTGCCTTTTTCAATACCATGTCGACATGAGTATTCCATGACAAGTCGTTTGATATCCATACACCTAGGAGTTTGAAAGAGGACACAGTTTCCACCGGTTTACCTGCAACATAGATCGGGTTTTCATCATCAGATCCTTTATATTTAAGAAAGTTGATCAACATTTGTTTGCATTTCTTATAATTTAGTTCCATTCCACGTTCTAAGGCGTAGTCCGAGCTTTCATTTACGACTAATGGCATTAAACTGGATGAAAAACGTGGTATAATCTCTAGGGCTGAGGTGTCATCCACAAACTTGATCCTACTGGGCCAGTTTTTGAGTAAGGAATTAATGAGAACAGCAAACAATAATGGACCCAACTTTGTACCTTGTGGCAAGCCACCATTTGTTTTCTTCCAAGAGGACATAGAAGTTCCCACCCGGACACATTGTTCGCGATCGCAGAGGAAGGCTTTAATCCACCGAATTATAGAGGGATGGGTACCAAGCAGGGTTAATTCTTTAATAATAGCATTGTGGTCTACTAGGTCAAAACCTTTCTTGAAATCTGCAAAGAACAATCTGGCAGTACAGGAACCTCTTTCAAGAGCAACCAAGATTGAATGTAAAAGG